CCCATGCGCGTACTCCAATTAACGCGCATATACTCAAAATAACGCGCAGGTGGGCGTTATTACGCGAAAATACGGTAATTTACAGTAAAATGTTAACACAAATAAGTTCAGCAGTTAGATGGAACTCAATCAGACATTGATTAATTTATTTACAGTATTATGCGAATAATGGGTAAATTAGTCGTGGCAGAAAAATTCGCGATCACATACCTTATTATGTTCAATTAAATTTCTAATGTCAAATGAAATATTTAGAATATCAAATCTTGTATATTTATTGGCTAAATTAGTGGCTAGAAAATCATCAGCCGGTTAACCGAACCGGGTTTAACCGGATACAACCAGCCCGGTTAGCCCGGGTCAACCGAGTTAACTGAGTTAACGGATCAACAAGGCTTATTATTTGTTGTCACAAGAGTATGAATTCAGGGTCACGATATAAAGTTTAGAACTACATCTTGAGAGGTTAAAATATAATGTTACGTCAAAGATTATTAAAGCATAGTGTTACATCTAAGATTTTTAAAGCATAGTGTTACAATTATTAATAATTTAGAATTATGACTAAATTCGTTTGGAATTAATTATTATTATTTACAAATAAAAAATTATTTATTATCTCGTAAAATAAAATGATACTTATTTTTTAGTTTGTGTAATAGTATTTTTTAATAAGATCTTTGTATTGGATGGTGGTTTTAGACTTTGAGTTGTTAGATATTGTAGTCATTTCCATAGAATCCCAGTAATTTGCGGGAAGAAATCAAATCCAGATTAGATACAACTTCTAACCTTTTGCACTTCATTATAATTAGATGCCGAATCTTATCCGAACTTGATTTTTACCGGAATTTATTAGGATTCTATGGAAATGGCCAGGAATTTGTATGTTTTGTTCCGAAAAAATTATCATTTTCTGGAACGATAATGAAACAATAATTCGGAGAAATCAGGGATACGTTTTCGAAGAATTTTTATAGGGTTTACTAACGCCAATTAGGTAATTATCTAGATTCATATACGTAAAACATTTGTCTTGCGAATAACAAATGATATTTTTGCAATATCACAAGATGATTTACAGTTTAGTTACAGTTTTAGTTATAATTTTAGCAACGGTTCCGATTCTGATCGGTTAACCGATTATGGCTTAACCGGTTCAAATCATACTCAAGCCTGAAACTGTAGTGTTTCGATCCTAAATCCGGTTATCTAAATTGGTCCTTAAATCAAAAGAAATTTAGATATTCAGATTAGAGATTTTATTTGGATTGGTTAAAGAACTTATTGCGCTTTTCAAATTACTGTGTCCACTGATTCTCATACACCACACCGGAAATCAGAAATCTAGTATAAATGCCAATCAGTGGACACAGTAATTTGAAAGGCGCAGTAAATAACGGATCTAAGGATGTGCCAAAAGCCGACTTTATATATTATTTGATGCGGATTCGATCCAGATTAAATAGAATCCGATGGCCTGTCAAAGTAGGATCGAAATACTATGAAACTGCGTCGCTTTCAATCTAACACTCGTGTGCTTATTTCTTTTATTATCACTTTCGTTAAGAAATTAATATCATTTAGACAAATAAAACAATGTGCTTTTTAATATGAAACCACATTAGCTCAATAAATAATTTAAATTTAAAGAATGCCGTTTCTAGACAACTAATAAGTTCCTCTATCAGTTATTCTCTATTTCCTTAGAGAATACAAATAATATCATCTTATTTATATCCCCATTGTAGGAAATTCATTCCCGTGTTTCCAAAGCTTTAACAATATTATTTTAAAGAAATTTCTATGGTACAAAAGGTTCTTTAAATTTGAATAATGAAAAAAGTAAAATTCGTCACAAAAATCACAAATAGTTATCAAACGGCATAATATACAGTATTGTTTCAAAATTTTGATTATTTTTTTAAATAATAAATTTTGTTCAAAAAATTGTATTTTATATCATTCTGTAATATTCAATTCATTCAATCCGCTACTTGTTAAATAATTATAGTTAACATCAAAAAAATAAATTTATTTAGTAAAAAGATAAAATAGTTTTCTGGATAATGTGATGTAGTATACTCAATAAATTGGCTTTTATAAATGTCATCAGGATACGTTTGTGAATGTGTGGTTTTAATAAATTTGCTGTTATAAATGTTTTCAGGGTATGTTTGTAGATGCGTGCTTTTAATATTTTTTAAAATTTCTTCTGATTTAATTAATTCTGATAAACTATTTTCATCGTTCTGACATTCTTTAAGAATTTTCACAAATTTTTATTGCTGATGGGCGATTTACTGATTCTTTATCCCAACATTTATTGAACCAAATTATATTATAACTATGTAATAAAAATTTCATTATGAATAAAGCATGCGTTTAGAAATCTAATCTAGTAAAAATCACAATTTTGGTTAGAAACCTCTCTAAGCTTGGTTTTGCTATATACTTAACCATATATGAAGATATTAGTTATGTAAACAAGGTTATGATTTATTGAATAAATTACTCAAGTTATTCATGTATGAAAACATGATTACTCTTTATTTTTGTTGAGTTGCAAACTGTTGATTCTCAGAGAAAAATCCAAAATATTTATACATGTTTAATAACTAAGATAAATAACTATTATATCTACCAGCTATACTATATCTACTCTATATGCGATCTAATATAACCAGTATATATAATAGAAATAATAAATATAATAGTAATAATAACTATGAGAGATGCGAGAACTATGGTATCTACAAGATTTCTTTGTATTTGTATAACCCTTTATGTGATATTGATATTACTGTCAAGCACATATATAATAAATCAGGTGATGCTTGGATTTTAGGTAGTGATTGGAATCGATTAGATCAACTATAATCGATGACATAATCAACTAATTATGTTGGCGAAAACTCGATACCCCGGTCGCTAAAAGCGAAGATCAAAATTTAGGCCGAAGTTACTTAAAATTCTACTAATTAAACCACGAGTGAAAAATTTTCCTGGCCTATTTCTCTAAAAATTTCCATTTTCGGAATAAAAAAAAAGTTAATTCCGGCCAAAAATTATGTAACAATTATGTAATGCGGGCCAAAATTTTGTAGATCACAATCGAGAATCTGCGGGTCTTTTAAGTTGAACCGAACCTAGGGTTGTATTACATTTACATTTCATGTAATTTTGCGTAAATTTCAGTAACTTGAATTTCATGTAAATTCCACACGCACTGGCACTATGAAAAACTCGTGCAAAAAACACAAAGCATCAGATGTTTTTTGTAAAAAAAAAAAAACTTGCTTACAGTAGATTCTGCATAAAGTTCACTGACCAAATCGATGTACATATGATCCAACCAATCATATGAGCATATGATCACGTTTCTTACAAATTACATGAAAACCATGTTACTGAAAATTTACGCAAAATTTCACAAAATTACGTAAATTACGGTAATTTGACAACCCTAACCTAACCATCCCTCACATATTTCATATGACCGTACTGGTATAGCTTTAACATTTAAAAAAAAATTTTAATATATATATTAAAAATTACATATGTTTGGACGTCTAAAAAAAAATGATGCGTACAAGTTTGAGTCAAATTAACCCTTTTTGGGTTTGGGTAACCTCACTATTGTGTAATTAAACATTGACCATAAAGGGATGATCACAAATAGATTACGACCAATTAAAATGTAGGTTCCTTAATTTTTTAAGTTGGCGCCATAAAAATTTTGATTGTGTCATTAACGCTACTATCGTAAAAACTAACACTCTTTCAAATCTTTATAATCAAGTTTTAAAGATGTGTGGTAGAACTGTGTTGCCTCTGGTAAATCCTCATTTCTTGATATAAAATAATGAATTATTAATCGCTAATGAATGACAAATAGGCGCCGGACATTATCCGACAAACCTTAGGAAATTCAAACCTAAAATGTACAAAGTGGGTTGATCAGGAGAAGTATAAGCCATCGTAAGTTTTGAAAAATCGTTTATTTTAAAACACCAAAATAACTTAAATAACAGAGTATATTCGTTTTTTTTTTAGATATAATGTTGCGCCAACTTATTATGAGCCTGTCGTTCGTGCAGACTCTGAGCTACATGAGAATGTTATTCATTCCATGGTACGTATGTACATAATTTTTGCTACCAGGTTATGTTTATAGCTTACTTTAATTTCGTTTGCTTAATAGAAATGGGGTTTAGTTCCATCATGGGCAAAGGATAAATCTAAACCCTCTACTTCAATGCAATCAATCAATTGTCGAGATGATTCATTACATGAAGTAGGTGGGAAACCGATGTTTAAATCTTTAAAGAATAAAGATCGATGTATCGTTATTGCTCAAGGGTATGTCTATTTTAATTTGTAAGGCGCTTTATTTTATTTTTATCGTCAATTTGAATTCAAATTGTTTTTTTTTTTTTAGGTTCTATGAATGGACTCGCGGACGCAATAAGAAAACACCTTATCTTATTAAAAGAAAAGATGAAAAGTTACTTCTTTTTGCGGGGCTTTATAAGAAAGTTCAATTAGAAAGTAAGTTTAAATGTAAACATGATGTCTTTAAAAATAAACGTAACTTGGATATTAAATAATCAACTTTTTACCAGATGGCGATACCCTTTATACATATACAATTGTTACAACTTCAGCTTCCAAGTCCCTATCATTTGTTCATGATAGAATGCCCGTTATTTTAGAGAATGATTCAGATAGTTTGGCCAAATGGTTGGATCCCAATATTGGCTGGAATTCAGAATTGGAGGAGCTTTTAAAATCTTACGAGGGAGAATTAGAATGGTTATAATAATTTAAAAATTTTCATGTATTGTGGTAGCTGAAATTGAGATTGATTGTGCTGAGATTTGAGCCTCTACTTAAATCTACCAAGCCCGCTAAAATCCACTTATTCTTTATAATCTTAAAATCCTAACTCAAAATCTTAAAATACATTCCAAAGATTTTGAATTTTCATATCAAATAGATCCAATTCTCGGCATCAGTTTTCAGCTGCCACGTGTATTATTAATTTAACACTAATTATTTTTCGATAACTCAATATTCTTTTAGTTATCCTGTCTCGCAGGATGTAGGGAAAGTAAGCAATGATTATCCGAGTCTGATACAACCTATTGCAAAAGCCAACATTGCAACCTTTTTTTCGGTGAAAAAAGATGAAATAAAAGGCGAAGATATATCAAACTCCAAATCAATAATTAAAGATGATGATGTTGATATGAAAGAAATAATTAAAAAGGATAGTGATGATGATGATATGAAAGAACCAATAATTAAAAAAGAGGATGATGTTGATATGAAAGAATCAGTAATTAAAAAAGAGGATGATGATGATATGAAAGAATCAGTAATTAAAATAGAGGATGATGATGATGATATGTGGGAATCAACTTCTGGTATTTCAACCATACCATCCAAACGTTCATTGGATGATTTGAAAGATGATATAAAAGATGAATTTTTATCGGATGAAGGAAATGATCTAAAGAGATCACGTAAACTTACACCTTCACCGCCTGATGAAAAACCACTTAATGACAAAGACTTGGATACGGATCAATTGCAAACATCGACAAGTATGATACCTAAAAAAAGGTCATTAAATTTTACAGCACAAAAGCCGAACTCAACCACGAAAAAAAGTAAGACAAAAGCAGCTGATGCTTCCACACCAAAAGGTAATATACCAAAAAAGAAGCAGAAAGCCAAAGACAAGGCGGAAGGTTCAGCTAAAATTACTAGTTACTTTTCAAGATCAACAACATAACCGATTTCATCAGATTACTAAAATATACGTGTTTTGATGAGTATTCAGGAATGTATATTTGTTAGCAAATTTAGAGCACAAGCATGCACTTTAAGTGCATATGTAGAAAATTTGTAATGAAGGTTAAAAATTTGCTCGATAATTTTACTATTAAATAAAACATAAGGTAGACGGATATTTTGCGAATTAGATATCTCGCGATTCAGGGATAACATCGGCTCTTTTCAGTGAAAGAAATTGAATATTATAAAGTATATCTGATTATTGAATGATGAAGTATTTGAATATTGATTATATAAAACGCAATAAGCCAATTTTAAACATTATTCAATAATTAGGCTAGTAAAGGTGGTAAACTATATTTGAGCTTTGATTAATGAATATTTTATAAAAATAGAGGATGTTAATCGGCTTGTTCGACACTCTTTTATCCCATAAAAATTTATATAATCAATAACAAATATGTATTCTACATATATATATGTGTGTATGTGTATTTGTATTTATATTACATTACAGTAACGGGATCTATATTCCTCTTTAAATAACTTAACAAAAGAAAAACTTTATTTTTATTTAAACATCGGGGCTATAATTTTAGTGCAGTAAGTATATCTGCACACGAAAGATTGAAGCACAGTGTCCATACCCATGCTGATACTATGCTTTTTATTATCCGACAGTTTATGCTTATGAAGAACAATTATCGAAATTATGGGAGATAAATAATAGTATGATACCTACGCTATTGGGGTTATGAAACGATGGTGGATAGACTCCTACAGCCATTACTAGATAAATATAACACAAGTTTTTGTTAGAACTTTCATAAACGTACAGTCTCAAAGAATGAATTGCTGTAATTATTAATAAGTAGACAAAACTAAGATATAATAAATTCTAGGATGCAAGTTCATATATCTTGATTGTTTATAGAAAAGTAAATAAGTCCTTAGCTGCATTAAGAGATATGTTTGACCAAGTATTAAAACAAGGCTGAAAGATTTAGACCAGTCGCAGATTGTTATCGATTTGAAGAAGGGGTTAATAAAGATAAAAAAAAATGGCATCTATTATTATCAAAAAGCTGCCAGAATGGGGACAATTATTCGATACACCATCTTAGAGAATGTTATCACAATGGGATTGGAGTCAAAGAAGATTTAAAAAAAGCTTCAAATTGTATTTGCAATCCCTGAACTTGGTCTAGTTGATGGAATAAAAAAAGTTTGGTATTGTTATCGAAATAGTATTGTGGCTATTGCTTGTTTCATTCATTTAGAAGAGAATTACGTCGTTTAGGTTCATCGCAATTATATGATGAACAAAATAGAGTGCCATCAGACAAATTGAATAATATAACGAAACTATAAAACATTATAATCGTTCTAGTGCTGTTTCATCTTCTAACATTGAAATAGATAATATGGCGATAGACAATATAGACACTCGATTTCTGGGCGGAGATGGAATATATAATGAATACAGACATGCACGACGTTCATTGGGTTTTGGGCAAAATCAGAAGATTTAAAATCCGATTATATTGTAGCTTCAGGACATTGCTCTAAGCGCATTAATACCTCGTTTTACTATCTTCCATGGAATACAAATACCATTACATTCCGTTCGACATTGTTTAAATCATAGATAATAAGAAAATGATCAAACTTATCACTAAAACAGTGGTTATAAGAAATACTGATAGTTTATGATGACAGTTTATGATGACGTAGATGTATCCATCATATATGTAAGTCCGGCTACACAACACAAGTTTCTTGTGGATTGGTACTTGGTAGATGGTGGAATCGTTGAATCCGATTATCGATCGAAAATTTCGAGCATCGGAATAAGCTTTTATTCACTGAGTTATTAATTCGGTCAATCATCGAGCATCGGTCAAAATTAAAATTTGACGTGTTTGGTGATAGTGATAAATTTATTGCTTTAATAAATTTTTATTGATTTAATTAAATCTTTCAAATGAAATTAATTAAAGACGGAATTTGGTTTAATATTTAATAAGGATACTGCATCTTCTGCGTTAATCTTTCCGTAGAGTTCTCTTTTAATAATGAAGAGAACGAATATAGCTGTATAGTGAACCAAAATATAATATAATAGAGGCTTACCGATGGCTCTAAAAAACAATCCTGGGTTTGGCATCATTTTAATTTGACAATAAAGATTGCAAAAAAAAAACCAATATTGCGGTCTTTACACAACCAATTTTAAGAGAAATGGCACGAAAATGTAATCAAATGAACACTTGTTTTCGGATTTAGGAAATATGAGTGCAAAGAGAACATTATTAAATCTAAAGTTATTTTGCAAAATAATATTTTAAAACGTAATATGAAGCAATTGAATTTATTCTTCCTAACGATAATTATAAAAATTGTAATTCATATAAATTGCATATTAAATAATTTAATAATAACGGTACAATTGATAAATTTAATATTATATTTTATATTCTTTTTTATGTAACACGGGATCTCGATGAATATTCGAATATTCAAATTTTGCAATCAACCGATGTTCGATTCCAATTTCTAGTACTTGGGTTCAATGGGTTTTATACAAAGTCAAACGGAGAACTCAAATCTTCATAAACCTTTCAACAGCGATGACTGGTAAAGGTGACAGTGGAGGAACTGTATTTTCTTATATACGAGATTTGCAATATGTGAGTCTAAATGGCATAAACGTTGGGTTCCAAAAGTTATCTTGTATATTTACCATTAGAACCAATTTTCAGAACGTTTGAATTAAAGCTTATCTTGAGTGGTAGTTCTAGTAATGTAAGTTAAATTAGACAAATTATTATTTGTGAGTTTGGCTAAATTGTTAAATTTGCTTTTTTTTTATATTTTATACCTTATTCTGGAATTATATTTTGGTTTTATGTTTTATTGATATTATACTTAAGGAAAAAGTTAATTGACATTTACGTCACCTATATGATCCCAGTATCGATAAAAATTTTAAAAGTTCTTTAAGGTTAGGGTTAGCGTTTATTTAAAGTATAGGTGTTAGTACGGTTATTAGTAAAATTGCCCAAGGAAAACTTTTTGTTAGAGCACGAAAAGTGGTTTACTATATAAATTTTTGAGTTATAAGCGATTTTTGCAAACGAACGCTTGTTTTGAATTTTCCTGATCGTGCTACGTTGCACCTAATTTTGAAGTTTGATTGACTTGCGCCACAATCAGTGATCAGTGATGTATAAGGCACTATCACATAACTTCGTCCATACGTAATAAATATAAAGCATCCTAGAGGACTATTTTGGATCATATCCAATTTTACAAAGGTAATTATAATACGTATAAAATTCAGTGTTGGGCTGACCAGACCAGTTTGACCAATTGACCGGACCAATTTGACCAATTGACCAGTCTGGTCAAAAAGATTTATATTGATCAAATTGGTCAAATACTTTAACCAATCAGGTTAACAGATTTAATTATATGATTTTTACTAAGTAAATCTATTCATTAAAGTTGTAGAGCAGATTGTTACAATTCTAATGCTGGTTAAAACATAAAATCGGTCTACTAGAACATGAGATATGTATAAAATTGTTTTTAAAACGTATATAAAATCTTTATAAAAAAAATTTTAATAAACGTTTTAAAAACATTTTATGCATATTTCATGATCTAGTAGACCGATTTTGATGCTTTAATCACCATTAGAATCGTAACAATCTGCTATACAACTTTAATTAGAAACAGTGAAAAGTTTGCTTAGTAAAAAAAAGATTTTTTATTAATTCGACTAATTTGACCGATTTGACCACTTTGGCCATGGTCAAATTGGTCAAATTGGTCAAATCGTCAAATTGGTCAAATCAATAAAAAATAATTTTCTTTACTAAGCAAACCTTTTCACTGTTTCTAATCAAAGTGCATAGCAGATTGTTACGATTCTAATGGTGGTTAAAGCATCAAAAATCGGTCTACTAGATCCTGAAAGGTTGTTGCTTCATTCCACGAAAGTTAGTTCCCCGACATCTCATTTCCCCGACACCATATTCCTGACAGAACATTTCACCTACAATACATTTTTCAGACAAGACATATTCCCAACAAGACATATTTCTGACATCACCTTTTCCCGACAAGACATATTCCCAATATCTCCTTTTCTGACAAGACATATTTTCGACAGGAACTTTCTCTGACATAAACTTTTCCCAAATGCTTTTTCTCCGACAGCTGATTTTTACTAATACTGGTTATTAAGAGTAATAGAAAGACTTTCATAAAAACAACCAATCATATATTTTATTGTACCGCTATGCTATACAATATTGCATACTATGTAAATCAAAACTATATATTGGTATAGTATAATATAAAAAGTTATCATTTAAAATTTATACGTATATAGACCATGATTTTTATTTATATAGCTCGGTGGTTTAGGATAAAATTTTGTAAAGACTAATATAATGTCTTTACAAACAAAGTTACAAAGCTATCTCTTTTCTTTCAACATAAAAAAAATTTTAAACTTCTATTCTAAGTGATTTGAATCAGTTTATTTTTATATGTAAACGAAAAAATTACACTTTGTAAAGACATAATATTAGTATTTACAAAATTTTATCCTAAACCATTGACCGTTAGAGCTGTACATCTATTCAAAATTCATGAAAAATTATAGTATATAAATAAAAATCAAAATATTAAATAATAAATTTTTATATTATACTATATACATAGTTTTGATTTACATAGTATATCGCCCACCCCAATACAACACGAAACTTATGTTTTCCTAAAAACTGCTATTATGATGTGTATTTTTAGAATTTTTGCAAAAACAATCTTTAATTTAGGTTTATCCTAGATTATTATTTATTAAGTAGCAATTTCGGATGTCTTGAGATGGTTAAATAATGATAAAAGATTATTTGAACAGAGTCATATAGTTTAATGGGAAGAGTTGCACCGAAATGTATCGTTTATACTTGATAAAAATATCTA